TTTTTTTTTTTTTTTTTTCATGGTATTTGTCACTTCAGACACCCAGATATTCCTCACTGTGGAGAAAACTGGCTATATTTATGTAAATAATGATAAATGATTTGCAGTCCTGGAAAAATAACATAACAGTTTTTCAGTACACAAAGTAAAATAACTGAATTTGTCAGCCAGTGATCTGCATGCATTTTCATGTCAGTCTAAAGACAGATCTAATGCGTCACCCTAACTAAACATATCCTCAACAACCAATATGGACTCCTCTTTGGACAACCTAACTACAATAGTTGGCGTCTGTTTAGTTTGACCAAAGGATCATGAGAATAAACAGTCATAACAGAGAGTGTAAGACTCTTGAGTGAGTGAGTTAACTTTCCTGATGAAAGATTTATAGCTTGCTAGTGATGTTCCTGCTGGGTGATGGGAATTTTGCCAAGCAGGACGCTATTCCTAATCATTCGCTGCCCCTAAAATCAGAGGGAAATGATGGTTTGAGACCAAGAAACCAATGAACAGAATTCAAATATGTAATTGAATGATAGGAATGTTGTTCCACAACCAAATAGGATGGGGATTCAGGCACATTACCTACTTAGCAAAAGCATTGTGCCATGTGATCTTTGTAAGAAGTGGCATTAAAAGACAGATTTAAATTGTAGCGTGAGCCCACCTGGAGCTGTAACATGTCTGCGAGGAAACTACACCTACCACAGGAAGACTGGAGCGTAACCTTCTGCCTGTGCTGCACATGTCTCTGACCGAGAGTATGCAAAAACACAACTGTTTAGATGTGACCAAAAGTACCTAAGCCATACAGTAGAGGTAAGTTCAAGATAAGAAACTACACATCACCAAGATGTGGAGTCTGAATCTGAGCACATCTACAAGGCCAACATTAGGTTTGTTAGGTCAGTAAATGCAGTGCATAATGTTTAATGTTCATCATGTGTCCTTGAAGTGGCCAATCAAATAGAGCTAACACAAAATACTTGGTTACATAATTCTATTGTTCTGAGACTCTTCTTCAGAAAACATCTCATGTCATCAAACTCTCACTCCTAGCCATGTACGGCATTTCATGCTCAGATAGGAAACCCTTCCTGCACGCAACCAGTGATTTCCTGCAGCTACAAGACCTTGACAGCAAGTCTCATCTCTGATGGTCACAATCACAAATTCAACAGACACTGAATTTGTCATTGTGTGAATTAAATTACTGTTGTCTTACAGCATGAAATGTCTGAATATGGTATTATTTGCAATAGTATACACACAATGATAAAGTGTATTATTGTTTTACTTGATATATTGTAAATATTTTGTAAAATGAACTGAAATGCCAAGAATGGAGCCTGCAGAAATCATTTCTGAAAGACACAGCATCCGGTGTCAGGAAAACACTGCTGTCTGACCTCCCGT